GGGATGCTGCTTTGCAGAAGCCTGCGGACCGCTCCCTGCGACCTGATCTCAACCACGCGGTAGTCGAATTCGTTGCTCCCCAAGAGTACATGGTTCGTCCTCCTCAGCCGCTCGTGTATCTTTTCCTGATCGACGTGAGTTATGCGTCCGTCACAAATGGTCTTCTGGCAACTAGCGCAAGGTGCATCAAGGAAAGCCTCGACAGGATCCCCAATGCGGACCGTCGGACTCGGCTGGGTTTCATCGCAGTCGACTCTAGCCTTCATTACTTCAGTATTCCCAGAGACGGTTTGGAGAACTCTGATCCAAGAATGCTCGTTATCAGCGATCTGGACGAGCCTTTCCTCCCTATTCCGGGCGACCTCCTGGTGACTCTGAGTGAGTGCCGGGAGAACATTGAGACCTTCCTCGACAAACTACAGGAAATGTTCCAAAACACGCAGAATAATGGTTGTGCCATGGGATCGGCTCTGCGAGCTGGCTACAAGTTGATTGCTCCGGTGGGAGGAAAGATGACCGTGTTGAGCTCGTCTTTGCCCAATGTCGGACATGGTTCCCTGACCATGAGAGAGGATAAGAAAGTCCTCGGGACGAGTAAAGAGAGCAGTCTTCTACAGACGGCGAACAGCTTCTACAAGAGCTTCGCTGTCGAGTGCTCCAAGGCACAGGTCTCAGTGGACATGTTCCTATTCTCTTCCCAATACCAGGATGTGGCATCCCTCAGTAACCTGCCGAGATATACTGGTGGACAAACCTACTTCTATCCCGGATGGAATGCAGCACGGGGAGAGGACGCGATCAAATTCGCTCGTGAATTCTCCGATTACTTGTCTTCAGAGATTGGGCTTGAAGCCGTCCTCCGTGTCCGTGCTACGACTGGGTTACGTATGAATACCTTCTATGGCAACTTCTTCAACCGCAGCTCCGACCTATGCGCCTTCCCTGCGTTCCCTCGTGACCAAGCGTACGTTGTTGAGGTTGCTATCGATGAGACCGTCACCAAGCCTATTGTTTGCTTGCAGACTGCTGTCCTCCACACTACATGCAATGGCGAGAGAAGGATTCGAGTATTGACCCTCGCTCTTCCCACAACGCAGAACCTTGCCGATATATACGCATCGGCAGACCAACAAGCAATTGCGACTTACTTCAGCCACAAAGCTGTCGAGCGGGTTCTTTCAAGTGGACTGGAACCTGCCCGTGAGGCCCTACAAGCCAAGGCTGTGGAACTTCTGTCAACATATCGGAAGGAGCTTGCTGGTGGAAGCGTGAGCGGAGGCGGCCTACAATTCCCTGCCAACTTGAGAGGACTTCCTGTTCTTTTCCTGGCGATGATCAAAAACGTGAGTACCCCCTCTTGTTCTCCAGACCAACCTGTTCTATCCTGGGTGAAACTGCCGACTGACATTGACTTCAAAGCTCGGTCTTCGCAAATCCGCACAAATACCCACCGATATGCGATCTGCAGCGCTGTGCTTGCTGTCAACGCTCCCTCTTCCTCTTCTCATTCAATACATCTACCCGAAGATGTATTCACTACATGACATGCCTGACAATGCAGGATTGCCAGACGAGCAGACCGGCGAGATTGTTCTCCCTCCTCCAATCAACCTGTCTTCTGAACGCATCGTGCCGTACGGTCTTTACCTGATTGATGATGGACAGACCCAGTTCCTCTGGGTTGGGCGTGACGCAGTGCCCCAGCTGCTCCTTGATGTCTTCGGTCTGCCTGACAGGTCGCAACTTCGCGTGGGCAAGCAGAACCTCCCGGAGCTTGACAATGACTTCAATCAACGAGTGCGGGCGGTCATTGAGAAAAGCCGGGACCACCGGTCCAAGGGTGTTGGGAGCATCGTGGTGCCTCACCTGTATGTGGTCAAGGAAGATGGAGAGCCAGGTCTTCGACTGTGGGCCCAGACGATGCTCGTGGAAGATAGGGCCGACCAGAGCGTCAGCCTGGTGCAGTGGATGGGTTCTCTGCGAGAAAAGGTTTGAGAAAGCCCCAATTTCTTTTGAGGTCTTCCCCATTTCACTTCGACACAGTCGCTGTTCAAGCTCATCCTGACTGACGCGCTTGATCACGCCTACAGATTGTCCAGTAATGATAATCTTTACAAGTCTGATAATTTTTATGGCAAATACATCAACAATTCCAAATGACCATGTCAATTTATTTTGAAACGAGCGGCACCGGATCTTTGACTTATCATTTGGAGTAGATCCTTGGTCTCATTGTACCATTATTTCAATACTCAGTGTGAGGGTCACTTTGGTGTGATGAGAACGGCTTCTTTTCTTACAAGTTACCATACCATATGTGCATACAGAATCCAGATTTGGTAGACCGTGTCTTCTCATCCTTGCCTTCCTTCCTCACGTCTAGTCCTCTTCAGCTTTTAACCGGAATGGTCACGAGGGAGCATGTTGTAGTGAGTTAAATTTCTATGCTGAGTACTCCGTAAGTAGGAGGTACATGGGGACATAGGTAAGCCCCTAAAGCTGCAGTCCGTTGGCGCTCATCACTGGGCCTTGTGTCTCATCGCACACACGAGCTGCACTTGCCCAGGCATCTGTGACTCTGTGTGGCCGCTTATGCACGGTAGACTTTTGGTCACAGCTTAGTATTGCCGACATTGGGCAGTGAGCAAAATTGACTGGTAGATACCTATCCAACATCTGGTGATTGTGACGACCGTACTGGGCAGTAGCGTCAAGTGCAATGTCCAACCTGTGATCGCACAGCCTCCTCGCCCGGGCCAACATTTGGTGGGAATAAGATGGTGGGTTGTAAGCTGCTGGTAAGAAATTGAAGGGAACGGCCTGTAACACGCCGGAGGGGTGGGACCATCATGGGGTGTCCATCCGTACGAGATGCGGCTTTGGCGCTGTGGCGGCTAAATATTTGGGTTTCGTGTTGGTTAGCTATTTCCCTGCTTGTTAGCTTGTTTGAAGGCGACTAGTGTCATTGCCATGGTTGGATTGAAACACTGGTTGAGACAGAGTTGATCGAGACGGGATTCCGATACATCCAAGTGGATCGTGGCCAGTAACTCGTCTCGATGTTCTCTACTGCTCCTTCGTAATTGTAACTATCCACTATCTACTCTGTACCTTGAATGGCCCGATGATTGAAGTTTAAATGTGCTATTAATCACAGGCTGAGAAGTGACAGCTCGCTTTCTCTGTGGTTCCAAATCAAAGGCGCTTCTCTCCTCTATTCTTAGTGAGAGATCTCAAGGTTTTTTTCATCGCGAGTTCTGGGTCTCTCGCCTGATAGTAGTCAATGAAAGAGACAATAGGAGGACAGAATTGCTATTTGCTACCTGTACCCATAAAGTTTGACAAATATAGCCTCTTAAGCGTATGACGAATAAACAGTTCTTGACAAGTTCATCGTCTTGTCCGTATTCATCTTCATTAACTGTAATTATCTTCTGCTGCAAAGGCTGTCTCCAGATATCAACTCACAGATTCGCGCCTCTTGTTTGTGATCGACGAAGAAGAACCCTTAATGATCATTCTCATAGGAAAACTGAAAGTTTCTATCTATAATTCTACCTTAGTATATACATCCACAGCGGCCCCTCTCGCCTGATCCAAGGTTCAGTCGCGGCCAACTCCCGGACTTTTCGTGTGCTTGTCTTACCCCAGGTACTCTTCAACCCCCTAAACGCAACAATAATAAGAAGAATCAACAATAAGTGAAAATTCTTCTGTTCAGCTCCTTCTCGTAACAAACTTCAACAAGCTATTGACTACTCCTGAAGGACCGAAGGTAACTGCCGATATAATCCGTCTGGCAACGCTGAAATTGAGATCGAGTCTCCATATCGATAAGTCCACTACTATCATAACTACTGCCGATCATCAGCGACAATATTGGTCTCCTGTACCAACTCTATATTCCTGTAAACAGCTCTCGACATCCCTCCTCTATCTACCTAGGTGCTACTGCTCCTTCCATCTATGCATTCGTGACATGCCCCCCGACTTTCTCTTTCTCGGTAAGTGTTATTTCCCTCTATTCCTTTGCTTGTTCCTGACCAAAAGCTGCCCCACCCCACTTCGGCCGTTCCGCTCCCTGTTATTATTGCTTTCTCCAGCCCCTCCGCATCACGATACTAATCGACCTTCCTTCTCCTCCTCTGTTTCCCGCGCTCTGCCATTTGTTCTACTGCGTGTCTTAAACGACATATACTCTGTCACCGTCCTTCTGCAAGCTATCCCATACACTCGAAGCTGGCTGTCGGAGCGGCAAACGAGGATAGCGGCTAAATCCATTCAGGGGAACAACAGATAGCCATTATCAGTTACCTGAGGAAATATCAAGTCTTGGAGACCACTGAAGCTAAAGCTTGAGCTTCGGTATGGCCTTTTGATCGCGTTCACCCTTTTTGGTCTCAATCTTCCCCTTAAAGTCTTTGACGGCCTTGATATTGAAGCCTATTTCAACTCTTAAAGACTGACTTGGCTGCCGTCTAGGACGTCGACGCATTCATCCAAAGCGCTTTGTGACTACAACTCAAGCTCGTCAACCGGATTACTTGAATTCGACTCCCTATACCCTCGAAAGACCAGCGTGCTTGTTGAATTCATAATTACTACGCTCCAGTATACTCGTTCAGCCCCCAGCACGGATCTTACCCCGCTTCAAGCCTTCCAGGCGACTTTCAGCAATTGGAGCGCGACCGCGGTATGAGAATTGGCTACAATTAAAACAAGAATTATTGTCCAAAGCTACAATTACCCCAAATTAAACGAATGTAAGCGCCGACTTTCATTATCTGTTTCTGAGCCACTGTGTGGCTCGTCGGGTTGCATGCCAAACAGTACTTGATAAGCCCTCAAGCAGGAATGTGCCAACTCCTGTTCTGAGGCTTCTTGAGTAATTTAGACCATGATGCACCGCGCCGGGACGACCTGAGCATGATCCGATTTGCGACTATCACTTTGTAATCCAAGAAATTTTGACTAACCTTTGATGCTGAGACTTAGCAACCATGGTGCAGCCGCCTCCTCAAGGAGGATCGAGGAAGATCTCCTTCAACGTTTCTGAGCAATATGAAATTCAAGATGTCATCGGAGAGGGTGCTTACGGCGTCGTTTGGTGGGTGGTCCCTATTGTCAATAGCGACAATCTGGCTCTGATACTGACTTGTTCCAGCTCGGCTATCCACAAACCCTCTGGCCAGAAAGTTGCCATTAAGAAGATTACACCCTTCGATCACTCCATGTTCTGCTTGCGGACTTTGCGTGAAATGAAGTTACTGCGCTACTTTAACCACGAAAACATCATTTCGATCTTGGATATTCAGAGACCTCGCAACTATGAGAGCTTCAATGAGGTGTATTTGATTCAGGTACACTCTTCAACGCACACGTGAAGACCTTGGAAGACTGATTGCCTGGACAGGAGTTGATGGAAACCGATATGCATCGTGTCATCCGCACCCAGGATCTCTCTGACGACCACTGCCAATACTTTATCTACCAAACGCTCCGTGCACTCAAAGCCATGCATTCAGCTAACGTGCTTCACCGTGACCTGAAGCCCTCGAATCTGCTACTCAACGCCAACTGTGATCTGAAAGTCTGCGACTTTGGCTTGGCTCGGTCGGCTGCCTCGACTGATGACAACTCAGGGTTTATGACAGAATACGTTGCGACTCGGTGGTACCGTGCGCCGGAGATCATGTTGACATTCAAGGAGTATACGAAAGCCATTGATGTCTGGAGTGTTGGCTGTATCTTGGCCGAGATGCTGAGCGGGAAGCCCTTGTTCCCCGGGAAAGACTGTAAGTTGCTGTGCTTTTGGAAATTTCCATAATGAAGCGTTCCACGACTGACTGAGCAGACCATCACCAATTGACCCTCATTTTGGATGTTCTCGGAACACCAACCATGGAAGACTACTACGGCATAAAATCACGCCGGGCTAGAGAGTATATCCGCTCTCTTCCCTTCAAGAAGAAGATCCCCTTCAAGGCATTATTTCCCAAGAGCAACGAATTAGCTTTGGATCTCCTGGAAAAACTCCTGGCTTTCAACCCCGCAAAACGTATCACGGTCGAAGATGCGCTACGCCATCCGTATCTGGAGCCGTATCACGACCCCGACGATGAGCCCACGGCCCCCCCTATTCCCGAAGGCTTCTTTGATTTTGACAAGAACAAGGATGCTCTCAGCAAGGAGCAATTGAAGAGTCAGTTGTCGCTTTGTCCGTCTGCTTCAAGGAAAAACCGCTGACCTGTGATCCGCAGCCCTGATCTACGAAGAAATCATGCGGTAGAGAGACAGTGGCGTCCCGTGCAGTTACTCTTAGACTAAATCCGATCCAGCGGCAACTCTCCAGCAGACTAGAGGGCAGGATGAAACTCAACTATCTCACCCGCCGATCCAGGGATGGGTTAAGCTCCTGCACATATTATCATAAGCGCATAGAAGGCTCAAGCGATATGCTCACATATTCCACGATATCGCTATTCTCAACAGCATTCAACTTCCACGACTCGTCACATCGTTGAACGTCTTTCCACAATACCCGATTCTGTCTAGGTCCTTCTGTTGTACTGAATAGGAGATCAGCGCCGGCCGTATGCTTTTGTTGTGAGCAAATTTCCATGTTGGCGTCCAGTTAGTTGTTTTTCAATCTAGAACGTCCATACCAAGTTCCTTGTATCTTGCGTCGGGTTTGATGAACGAAATTTCTTCCGGACGCGCAATGCCGTCTTTCCATTCAATCCGACAGTGCCTGGGTATATCGAAGGATTATTCTATCTTTACATCGTGCCTTGGAATCTTCGCCAATGCGACGAAACAGCTAGGTATATAATACAAGTACAGCAACAGTCATCAAGCACGCCTAGATCACATCCCCTTCCTCCGCCGCATGAACGCCTCAATGCCAGCACCGACACCTTCCGGACTAGGTTTCTCCGCACAGACATCAGGCTCAAATCCATAATTCTTGACAAGATGATCTCTCGTCGTAGGCCCGATAGTCGCAATGAAGACCCTCCTCTCCGTCCCGCTTGCAATCCCATCAACCAGCGCACCCGCTCCTCCCGCAGAGGACTCTGTAGACGTAGAAAGCAAACCCAGAACACGAAGCATCGCATCACAGCCCGTCGGCGAGAACACAACCACCCAGATCACCCTCTCCTCCCCGTCCCCGTCGCCGCTCCCCTCCCGACCAGCCAGGGCCAAATACTCCTGTCCGGCGCGCACCGCAGCCCTAAAATCACCCTCAAAGGACTCCATCACCCCCGTCTCATACACGACAAGCTCATCGACATGAATCCGCTTAGCGGGAGAGAGGGATTCAGCCATGAGTGTTCTGGGTATGATATCACGGCGCTGTTCGCCAACAAGGAAGAGGAGGGGAGGCTTAGCGGGCGGTGCATGGGCGCCTGCGCTAGCATCTCCGCCATCATATAGCGCATTATAATGCTCCAGGATCGCAAGCGCAAGTTTCTGACCGTCTCCGGCGTCGGAGCCGTAGATCGTCGCATGGGGCAGATGGGTGACTCGTAACGTTGTGAGGGAGCGGGATGTCGCGGGCCCGACGGTGTACAGTATCAAGGAGCGGGATGCGACTCTCGTTATTGAGACTATCAGAGCCCGTTAGCTTGTGCATATCCTTTTCCTCTCTCTCCTTGGCTCTTCTGACCAAGTCCGGTGAGGGCAGGGCAAACGTACCATCCACCTCTGTCGTGACCAAGCGCGCGAACCCCTCCACAGCGCGCTGGCTGGTGAATATCAGCCCGCCGTATTTCCGCTCCGGCCCGGCATTTAGACTGCCTGATGTGAAGAGATCTTTGACGGTGCGGAGGTTCGTCTGGTTGAAATGGTGCTCGAGGACTGGGACGAAGGCGGGGTTGTAGCCGTGAGCGGAGAAGAATTCCTCGTAGCCATCGTGCGGGGTAGATTTCGTCTTGAGGAGCAAGATGGGCGTTGCCGATGAGGATGAGAAGGAATATGAAGGCGAGGTTGTCATTTTTCTCCGATGTTCGATTGCTGAGCTCGTTTACTGGTGTTCATTTGATATGTGTGGGACAAGATACGCTCGGGGAGTGAGGTGATTTGATCGGTGGAGTCATTCGAGCAGAGCTGCGCGATGGGACAGTTTATGGCCGTTCTGTTTGACCCTGCAGCAGATGTCCTATTCCAATTATGGATTAAGCCGGGTCTTTTTAAAATATAATTACCGTATGTACCACAGCTCCCTTGGAGCCTCTTCAACTACGGCATTACTGAATGGATATACCTAACACGCTGGGGATAACACAAGGAAATTGACTGGGTCTAGTAAACTTATGTACACACTTAAAAGAAACAGGGACAACTACTGGTCGTCAAGAACGTGCAAGTACTTCTTCTCCTCCTTTCTTTCGCGCTCCGTGGCGGGAGGAAGATCGTAGTAGGAGGAGCTTCTGTAGCCTTTCTGTAGGGGGAATCAGTATCGTTAACAAAACTTACACGAAGGCGAATGACTTACCAAGTAGTGGAAGGTGAGGTCGCTGAGCTCGGCGGGCTCAATGCCCAAGTCTTTGAATGTCTTGGCGGTCTTGTCAATCGTCTGGTCAATGAACTCGCGCTCCACCTCATCGGCGGAGATGGTGTGCCACCAGAGGAGCTTGTTCAAGTAGTAAGCCGCAGGCTTCAGGATGGTCTTGGAAACGTTGATGTGGCGACGGTGCTTGAGGATTTCACGGTCAACCAATTCAGCAATTTCCGCAGTAGAGTAATTCTTCGGCCCATAGAGCTCGAAAGTCTGGCCAGCAGTGGTGTCGTCGTGGAGCATCAACTCGAGCGCGGAGCCAACATCAATAACCTATATAACATGATAAGCGTCACGCTCCGAATTGTTAGTTTAGTGCTGAGCTTACGTGAACGGGCCAGAAGCGTTCCTGCATGCGGTTGGAAGTGAAGAGGTTGGTGACACCGGCGAGCTTGTGGAGAAGATTGTCCTCGAAACCAAACATGGGAGCAGGCCGGACGATGGTAGTCTCGGGGAAAATTGAGCGAGCAACTTCCTCACCCCATCCCTGTACGATCAATCAGCATTTTCACGCAGCCACCGCTCGCTGGGGAGCCGAAACGGACCTTTGTCCTGAAAAACTCGGAGGGCGAGTTTTTGTCGGCGTTATAGGAGGAAACGTGGATAAATCTGTCAACGTCGTACTTGGCGACAGCCTCGGCAATGCGCTCAGTTCCATCGACATGAACGTCGGTGTAGGAGAAGTTCCTGTGAAGCATTAGCTGTGCCCCTCTCTTACCGAACCCCATTAAACATGACGCGACCACTCACTTCGTGGGATATTGACGACCAACAAGGTTGTAGACAACATCGGAGTGACGGACACTCTCCTCAATAGATTGGGTATTCCGCAGGTCGTATTCCTAAGCGATGCTCGAGTTAGCCGAAGAAAACAGCTTCCAGATGCTAAAATTAGATGTCCACGTACAAGGAAGACAACTCTTCCGAGATCACCAGTTGGCTTGAGATGTCTCTTAGTCATTTCCTCACGGAAGGGAACAACAACCGTGCATCCCTGGTTGGCTAGCTGCGAATCAACGTCTGCTTCCACCCTGCGGGCCACCTCGTTGACCTACCGAGCTTGTTGACAATGTAGCGACCGAGAAAGCCAGTAGCACCGAAAACGGTGGCGGTATGACCTAAAGCAAAGGTTAATCATATTAGGCGAGCTGCAAGCGACGTGAATTGCTGGCGATGAATAGTATACCTCCAAGAGAGGACCTATAACAAAACTGCCTGTTAGCATCCCAGCTACCGGACAATTCTGGCTCAATTGCTCTCACCGTCCGCCCTGGACCTTCAGAATTGGTTTCCCAGTTCGAGTAATCGCGACATCCTGGAGATTCCGGCGCTGCACTTGGAATTGGACCCGAGGGGCGGGGACGAATGCCCTCGACCCCAGAGCGGAATTGACGGCCCGGCACTTCTGCATGGTCTCTCTTCAGCTCGCGGTCCGAATGAGACCACCGTGTTGTGTCCGGATCGGTATTGCGTGATTGTCAGAGAGATGGAGGTGAGAGCACAGCTCAGCAGGTAAGTTTCGGGCTTGATGCTGGACTGGTCGAAAGTCGTGCTCCAGAGAGCGAACTGCAGCACGGGACTTTCGCGCTAGTCCGAATTCGGACAGCAACCTCCAGCATTGTCAATGACCTACGATCAATACTCTTGCACTGTAGGAATTTACTGCGGACTATTCGTCTCCATGAGGTGAATTGGATAAAACTCGAACGAAATTCCCACTCAACTAATTAACGCCAATCTATGCTGGGATACTACCATGTCGTGCCCTCAACACGTATCCCCATCTGACTATTCGGAAATTCTGATTGGACGACCGAGTTGGCTGGCCATGAACTGATGTTGTCTATCTATACCGATAATCCTATCTCTAATTCTTTCCTCGGCCTCTTTCGACACTGGAAAGGTTTTGGCTATCCGAAGCAGCCTCAATCTTCTCGGGTGTCTGCTGTGGGCTCCCACAGGAAGCTCATCTCAAGTGAGCCGGGTACCCTGTCGCCTGCAAACACCCTCCTCATGTCATTGGTACAACCATCACAGTCTGTAGAACTCAAAAACGAGCATGCTTGAAAAGCTCACGCCGTGTACCAATTGCGCTGAGCTCTAGCGATGAAAATAGTCTTCTTGAACTCTTTCCCCTCTTTTTTGAACACTATCGGCTCCTGAATGACCTGGTAGTCGAACTTCTGGCCCATTCCAGCGTCTTTGAACAACTTTTGCATGTTTTCCAAGGTGAAGCCATGCGTTCTAACTGTCGCGCTTGCCTGGGGGAATGCTTTGTGCAGGCCATTCGTGGAGTGTTCAGCCTCCGGTACCAAATCGATAATCAAGAACATGCCGTCTTTCTTCAGCCGCTCACCAAGGCGTTTCAACGCCAAGTCAGGCTTGTCAAAGTGATGAAGTGCCATGCTCACAGCGACGAGATCGAAATCGAAGAACTCAGGCCCAGATAGATTGTCCGGTGCTGGTTCGGCGAGGAGGTCCCCGTGGTAGCCATGCATCCTATCCGCAAAGCCCGTTTCTTGGGCATTGATGTTGAATTGCTTGATCATTTCTTCGGATACGTCCATGCCAACAATATGGTCGACGAACGGTGCTAGCGCCTGGTTTTCAGATTCAGCTGCATCCTCCATCAACCTTAGAAATCTGTTTGAGATACATACTGCGGAGACAGCACCAGGCCCGCAAGCATACTCGAGCATCCTGACTTTATGACCTTTTCCCGACTGGGTGTCACTCCAGGTATCACTGATCCAGGAGCGACGTCCTTGAACCTCATTGAAGATCAATTCCTGGCCTTGTCGGAATTCTTCCCTGTAGGAACTAGCTAGTTTACTGTGTGAATTTGTAAGAAAGATACTCTGCATCCAGCAATTATCGTGGACTGACCTGAAATATTGTCTGTTCAACTCAGTAAAGTCCGACATCGTGACAAGTTTGAAGACTTCTGAGCGATATGTGAAGATGTTGATATGGAAGAAATGCAAGGGAAGAGTGTAAGAGCGCTATAATCGGTTTCACTCAATTCAAGATAGCTACTATAGAGTAATAAAGACTTATGTTGAGTTGTCAAGTCTAAATCTGCTAAATATACACCAGCAACCCGGAGACATATCGGACACATTATTGCTAGAGGCGAACTGCTAGATCCACTACCGGGGTCCTGGAACAGTTTAGTCGGACTGATAAAGAGAGGCACCTCTCTAGTACCTTAAAAGAACGCATGCTAAGCCACAGAGCTCCAATGCGGGTCAGGATGCTACTTGCTGAAAAGCTTTTAGAAAACGCAGTATGACGACGGGGTACATTATAGGCGTGACTTTGTAGGGATGTCATATCTCCAGTAAGTGGTACTACGGCGGCGCAGAGACACCGCCCAAGCTCCTACGCAACTCTGCCATCTAAGCAACCTTGCTCTCACAATTCATTGAACACTTTCCGAGTCCTTTCGTCCGCCACTAATTAGCTCTTTATTCTAAATACCTGAGCCTCTTCTTCTTCCTTCCTAGCTACCGTCCGTGCCCTTGTATCCCTCGAAACCAGCATATCTCCACTTCTCCACCATGGAGAACCAGAAGATCTCCGATTTCCTGGCAGACCAGCTGCAACGAGCTCCAGAGCAGAGCCAGGCCTTCTTCCTCAGCTTTGAAGACTTCTGGGAACGGAAACTATGGCATCAACTGACCAACGCTCTGGTGGAATTCTTCCAGTTGCCTGAAAGCGCTCCTCAGCGGTTACCGATATTCAAGACGTTTGTTCTGAGCTTCGCCGACAAGATTAATCAGCTGAAGTTCGTCTCATTGGGTTTGATGGCATCAACGGAATGCGCAGGTTTGTTTGAGATCCATATTCTATTCTAGCTAGACAGGGAGAACGCAAGGTAGCATTTGGCTGACAGTCAATGGGGTGACAGATGACCAAGAGCGACTCTCCTTTCTTACATCACTTGCCGACAAAGTGAACAAACCCGACACACAAGAAGCTTACGTGTATGCCCTTGCGGAAGTTGCAAACGTGAAGCAGCGACTACAGAACTTGGATGGAGCGCAAAAAGATCTGGAAGTATGCCAGAAGGTTTTGGACTCTTTCGACTCCGTCGAGACGGTGGTGCACGCTTCCTTTTACAAGGTCAACGCAGATTACTACCATGTAAGTTGAGCAACCGATCGGCATTAACTCCTCTGCTCGCGAACTAAACATGAACGTACGCCAAGGCCAAACAAGAGTTCGCCGCCTATTACAAAAATGCCCTTCTTTACCTAGCCTGCATCAACCTGGAGGATCTCAGCGAGTCAGAGCGTGCCTCCCGCGCATACAGCCTGAGTGTCGCCGCCCTCGTCTCCGATACAATCTACAACTTTGGTGAACTCCTCCTACACCCGATCTTGGACTCTCTCACCGAGACGCCGCACAGCTGGCTACGCGACCTCCTGTTTGCCTTCAACCGCGGCGACCTTACTGCGTACGATGTCCTGGCCGGCAACATCTCCAAGAACAAGCTACTTGAGCAGCATCGCATTTTCCTCTACCAGAAGATCTCTCTGTCAGCCCTCACAGAAATGGTCTTCCGTCGACCCCCTCACGACCGCAACCTCACATTCGCGTCGATTTCCTCGGAGACGAAGGTCAAGCCTGAGGAGATTGAGCACCTGATCATGAAGGCTTTGTCCTTGGGTCTTCTCAAGGGTGCTATTGATCAGGTTGCGCAGGTCGCTCAGATTCACTGGGTGCAGCCCAAGGTTCTGGATATGAAACAGATTGAAGGCATGCGCAATAGACTCAAGGATTGGGATGCTGGTGTGAATCAGCTGGGTCACTGGATCGAAGGAGTTGGTAAGGACGTGTGGGCTGCCTAGAAAGTGGACTAGGTAACATGATAGGTATCCTTATGAGGCCATGTTTTTGGCGTTCGATGGTTACAAGGGTACTATTTTGCATGTATGTACGAACCTTACTAGAACACTCTCAATAACTGGAAAACTACGAGAGCGATTGGTCCTTTCCAGTCAAGGATGAGCTTTACCTACAAGGTAATTATAAAATACCAAAGGGGAGGATATACATATGGAATGATGTGACTGTGATGTATAAACACTAGCCTGAATGTCGAGTCAGACCCTTAAATTCAAGTCCGGACCCCAGGCTTCAAAGAACAGACGATCCTAGTAAGACACATCCAACCACCCAAGCAGGCCACCAGACACACCACACAACCACCTGTGTCCACATACCCCAGACATTCCATCCGAATGCTGCCTGAGTCAGAACCATCTCAACCGACACGCCTGAGTACCAACATGCCCCAATGAGAACCGCAGGAGGAGAAAGGACATTTAAAGCTAGCAAACCAAGTATAGCGATGGGGTACCGCAGAGCAGCTTTCGTCTGGGGATTGATGCGCTTGACGAAACTAAGTGGTGCGCAGAGTAGGCCAACCATGAAAGAAAGAGAGAAGTTCAATGTGGCAAGGGTAGAGAGGAAAAGGCCGAGAAGAAGGAGGGAGAAGGATTTAGTCAGGAAATATTGCTGGGTTGTTGGAGGAGAACTAAATCCATGGTTCAAGAGGGCTGACACGATGATGGGGAGGATGACCCCAGCTCCGAGACAAATGTAGGTCGCGGTCGTATAGTACTGTTGACATTGTTAGAGATCTTGCGGGGCCACGTCAGTGCCAAAGTGAGGAGACCGACCTTGTGATGGATGTTATTGAAGATGAAAAGAGGGACCAGGCCAAGCAGGTGTAGCCCAACAACTAGGGTGAGCGGAAGGGCTAACTGTCTCTCCAGGACACTGCCCGGACTCGGTAGCTCGTTGGGATTTGCGTCATTCAATTCGCCAGTTTTCTCCGTATTCGTTGCTTGATCGGCCGGAGACTTCTTATCCTGGTGAGCATCTCCTTTCGTGGTAGAGGTCGCCTGAGCGTGCATATAGTAGCCCGTACGCATCCACAAAGCAATCGCCATGATGGTGAAGTTTCCAGCAATCAGCATCGCACTTGGAAGGTAAGTACCTATACTGACGAAGCGATTGGTGTGCATCAGCAGGTAGAAGAAAAAGCTCTGGTGAAGGTGTTCGAGCAGGTTGTTGAGACTGCGACAGAGACTCTCCACAGTTCGACCTAGAGCCATCTCATCTTGCCAGCCATCTCCCTTCGTTTGCAGAGTGATCGCATCAATGTGGTACGGCATGAAACTACTATGTGCCCCGGTAGCGTGTCCGAAGCCCTGCTTGACCATACCCCTAAGTATTGTCTGCAGGCGCTCTTTATAGCTATCATCATGCTCCCACATTTCCTGCAGGCTTGTTCCGATTCCCATCTGACCCCCGGCAATTGAAATAGCCGTATTAAATAAATCCAGATTGGGCAGTTGCCCGTTGACGCCATCGTAGACGATATGTAAAGACTCGAATCGATGATCGAAGGGGTATTCAATAACAAGTCCTCCCTGTAGGGCACCGCTCTTCAGTGGTAGAGGCTGGACCGAGGACGGTTGCATGTCATGATACGCATCGATCCACGCCTGCGTTCCCGATTTGCTGTCTGGTGGGAACAGAAAAATGATATCTTTGGACCACAAAGACCAACCTGGAGACGATCGTCATCAGCACGGCTCGAATGACCTCTTCTCCACAATGCATCGCGATAAGATTCGACCCACGCTTAAAGTATCTTGCCAGAGTCAGAGCAAGACTGACTCCATTCAAGTTCAATTCCCCATCAGCAGTCTTCCAAGCAGCAACCAGCACAATCGCCTCCGTGGCATCGCCCCGCGGCGCATGGATGATTGCGTAGACATTCTGTCCCTCATGCGTGATACCCGAAGAAGTGTACTCGTACTTCTGCGTCGCAACTTTCAACCCGGCCGCTCGCAAGATCGACTGTATCTGATCGGAAATTCTAGTCGCAGATTTGGAATTAGCAATGGGACCACCAGGCCACATGGCTAAGCAGTAGAAAGGTGTAGCAGCAACGTCTCGACGTACACTGGTGTCAATTCACTATCCTTCGCCTCCTGACCTTCCTGGTTCCCAGAATTCAGCAAACTTTCGAGTTCTCTCTTGTACCCGCGAAAGATGTTCTGTTCGCTGCCTGAGAAGTATGCATGAACCTGGCCAGGCAAAAGCGCATTCTCGGAGATGTATGTTTGACGGGCGTATTCGTCGAGGGGAAGGAGAAGAAGCCAGACCACTCCTGCAATTATGCAAAGAAGCGAAAGTATATACGGCAGGCGCACGAAGAGAAACTGAGGATTGCTCCGCAATCTGCGGATTACGGCTGTCACCCACCCGGTCACTGTCAGCTTAGGTCTATTTGAAGCTCCGTCTGATGGTATTCTGGGGTAATGCTAGGGGATGCATATCGCGCATTGAGATACACTCTGCCGATAGACCAAGTCTCTGCGCGTAATTCCGAAGTTTAACTTACATTTCAATGCCATGGAATTAAAGACATTCGGAAGGATCTTTCCATGCCGAGCGTCGTTGTAAAATTGCTTAGAGGGCAAGTTGAACGAATTGGAATGAGCATCTCCGCAATAGCTGTTATCTAAACTACGTCGGCCGCTAGTGACCACCTACACAACTCGCTCTAAGAGATTCTAAGTGATGCAAATGAAGTAAAAAATTTTACCTGATACACTTAACGCTTCGTTAACAAGTATTTATTGGTTAATATGCACACAAAATTGAAATTTCTTCCTGCTGAGTGTGGTAGCTTCAAGGACCGAGGCGCTGATTCGTGCCCAGATAGCTCAGAGGAGTGGGCCTCTCACCCCCTACGGCTGCCGTTGCCGTAGGAAGGACGCCATAACGACCATAGGTTTTCTGATCTACTGACACATAATGTGGCAGTCGTCCCAGTAGGTTCAGCTTTCCCTCAATCCATCTCAGGATCTTCTCTGGTGGAACAAACACCTTGAGATACCCGAGGCCGACTAGAGAATGCCACGTTAGTTTCAAAGCAAGAGAGCACAATGATAGGGAATACTCACGTAGATACCCTATTATAATAGCAATCAAGTGGCCCAAGAAGCTCGTGTTCGGCACGAATATCGATACGAGAGCACATGCGAACAGTGGTGATGTCCAGGTCGGAATCTTTGTTGTCCCAAGACTATAAATAATTAGATGATCTGAGGACTTCTGACGTGACTCGTTCCAAGTTGGGATACCTGAAGTATGGGTTTGACTTAAATGTCTTTATAGCTTCAGAGCCTAGCAATAGGAACACCCAGACACTAAGGATATGTTAGAAATACTTTCAGTTTCTGAGGTCTTCAAATCCCACCTTGCCCCAACCACAGCAGTGTTGCTGTGCAGGATGAATTTCTCAATCAGGATGTATATACCGGCAGGGAACGTTGAGAGAGCTGCGCATAGACATTAGCCCACTGCAAGTCGAGGTCTCCTTGATAGAGCCTTTCTGCGGTTCCGAATCCAAACGGGGATGACATACGGCCAACAAATAAAGCAACTGCGGTCAATGTACCATGCTCAGCTTCGAATCGCTCTAGCAACGGTGTGAGAGCTAGCAGATTCACGAAAGCGTGAAAAAACCCAACGTGAATAAATGGATAGGTGTTCAGTCGGTACACTATTTTCTCGCGTCAGAACCGTTCCCACGCAAAGACGTAACAATCGACTGCAGGTTGGGCGGCACGGCCGAGATGGACATACTGCTACCGATTCCGATTTCACTCGGCGTCAATGATCCCCATTGTACCACGCTCCATATAGTTTGTAGCTCGAGCAACCAAAATGCAACGATGACCAACAGCACAACGCGTGTGAAAAGTGGTAATCGGAGCACATACGATCTCACCCTGGTAGGGTTGAATGGTAATGGCGGTAGTGCGGTCGGGGTTGCCATGCTGCTTGGTAGGAAAATGGCACGAAATTCCCCAATTCACAGAATTCGCGGACGAATTGAGTATGCCGAAGGTGATGGTCAAGGTAGGAATAAGGTGGATGGGTGTTCTGCTTGATTTGTGTTGAACTCTGCTGTTGTATTGAGATCGAGGGGAAAGGGTTGACGTCGGTACAACTGAGGAAGCAATCGGACAAGGGCTTCGAGGAAACAGAGGTCGTTATTCATCAATCAGTCAAGGACAATGCATTATATGTCGTAAACCAGAAATTGCTGATGCCCAGTGGCAGTGTCGGATGGATGGATGCAAACAATGCAGAAGCCAGAAAACATGCGATGCGCACCACACGACTCGAAAAGTTCGATGTGCTCTATGCAGAGATAGTCTAAAGAATATAAAACCTGTAAGACTAAACCGTGAGCTCGAACAAATACAAGGAGGTAATGCAGCAGCACTGAGTTTGGACTGAAAACAATGAATGCTCAGGGCTCTTTTGAGGCTACTTTGTCTGAGTGGGCCTTTCAGTAACGTGGATCACGGGGTCACGTGTGCGATAAGCGCTATCGGTCCAGGTATTGTTCAGCGATGCATAAATACGAAAGTTGATCCCAGAAGATTTGCAATCTCATTCATTCTAGCTCATTTCTTCTAGCTCATTAAATCATGATCAATTACATATGAGATTTATCTGAATTATGACATCAGGTTACAGGTACTGCTGGAACCACGCAACAGCCTGGTAGAAGGCCTGCTCCTTACAGAACTTGAAGTGCTTGTTGCTCAAGTCAGCACGGACAGCGAAGCCATGTGTAACGCCGCTGAACAGATTGATCTGCCAGGGCTGACCTGTCTTGATCAGAATATCCTCGGACTCGTGACGGAGCTGAGTGGTGAAGATGTTGTCGATTTCTAACATATTCTCAACGTCAGTTATGATATTGATAGTACCTAACCCATCCTCGCGGACCAACTTACCGGCGGCAGCGATAGAAAGAGGACCAGCGATGGCAGCGAGCTCCTCCTTGGTGACAAAGGAGGGGTGAGCGGTGTAACTGACGTCGATCTTACCGGGCTTCAAGAAGCGGCAGACATACTGATCGAAAGAGCCTTGTTAGGAACGGGATACACCAACAAAGGCACCGTGCAGGTTTCAAAGCGTGTAGCTTACCTTGCCACCAAAGCAGTAACCGACACCGGCGATTCTCTTGACTCCCAACTCCTGCCTGAGGTACTTGATTGTAGACTCGACAACAGGGTCAACGTTGGCGATCTGGTGCTTAGGAAGCCAGGAGGGAAGATCAGCTTTGCCGGATTCCATGTCACTGAGCTTGATAGCGTCCTTCTGGAAGAGATCGGGAATAACAGCGAGGTATCCATTGGCAGCGAATTCATCGGCAAGCAGCTGGGCGTTGACATAGATACCGAAGATGTCGCTCAATATGAGGACGGCCTTCTCGGGGCTATTGTTGTCCTTGGGGTATGAGATGTAGGTTTCAACTTTGAAGACTCAGCACCGAGCCCAGTTGTGTCAAGAAAGGAGTAGCAAGGCTACTTACCACCCTCGACAGTCTTGATTTCCCCAGCGGGATTGCCTTCGTGCTTGAAACCAGAGGCACAGCAAGCTCCGGGTGGGTTGGATGCCATCTCCAAAGGGTATGAGTATAGAAAGCTGCGAAGAGCGTACTTTACAAAAAGACTGTGAAATAAGGGAAAAGTAGCTGATAGATAACGCGGGACAGTCGCCCCTCTTAAATGCCCGAAGAAACATCAAGGAACATCCATCCAATTCGATTTCGACGCAGCAGGGCCCCCCTCCCCACTCTTGCCCCTCATGGACGCTTACTAATGGTTTACTCCTCCACATACACAAGACTAGCCAGGGCCTGTGCTACAGCTGTGACAGAAGTACCTTGTCCTTTGATACGATCTAGAATAATGTTTGAATAGCTGTGGAATCTAACCAGGCCTTCTCACATCCCTCTGCCACGTCTGTCTGTCATTGTTGACATCCACCAAGCCGCCGAGGTAATTGAGGCATCGGGTAATCGGGAGCATGGCTAAGCTTTTTCTCCCCGTCGGCGGAGCCTCGGGAATAAATAGATCAATCATGTTTAAACCCGCTCTAAGAGCGTAGATCAAAGTCTCAAATGATATGAAGTAGCAGCAAAACATGCCTTGTTGAGAACGATTGGCTGGACCCCCACCGGATGAGACTTCTAAACTTCTGCTTGGCTCGAGCTTCAGGTGGTGGCACTTGGATAAGACTCCGTGCAATTGTTCATGGTTCTATATCCACTAAGATGTCCATAAAAGGTCTCTAGGTAGTACGTATTCCCAAGAAAAATCCGGTCATATCATTAGTTATCAACGACCCCTCATTAGCCATTCCGTAAACCATGCGTATCGTTCATAAACATCAAAAGGCGTCAAAAAGTGAAAACCTGGCTGTGGTACATGGGTATTATGTCCAGTCACCCAAAGCCAAAACACCTGGTCATAGAAGTCAAATAGTGTAAGGGGTATAATGAGATCACAAGTAAATATTAAATCCTCCAGTTCATCCTGTCCGTGTTGTTTTTGCTCTTCCATTCCCACCCCCACCCGCCCCCCTCCCTGCTTCTGCCGCGGTCAAAAGCTCAAGCTGAAGCGTGAAGAAGTGATCTGCGACGGGGCGGTGAGAAAATCATTTCAGCATGATTCAGGCGGCGGGAAACTGGAAAGGCGGCAGTTGTGGTCGTGACTCTTTCTTCACCGCCCAAGCTTTGAGGGCAATAGACAAAATCTCACAGGCCATGATGAAGGCGGTCACTCCCATTCCAACAGTGAACGTGAACATCGCATCCAGATTATAGTATTCCATGCTATCAACCACATTGCGGGTCTACCGACAAAGATCAGTAACAACTCCCGGTACTAAAAAGAAGGAAAGAGAGGGACACAAGACACTTACACTTAGCATGAAGATCAACCCCCCAGCAATCAGGCAGAAGGATGCCACAATCTCAGTTGGTGGGCGCGATGGAAGATAGGAGGTCGGAGGCTTGAGGTATAGCAAAACATACGTCATGCCACGAGCCAAGGCGAACCCAACGAGAAGATTTCCCCATTGCTTGTGCACCATGGTTGAAATCATGCTCGTTTGATGGTGAGATCCCATCATCATTCCCAAAAGCAGGATAACAAGCGCAGGCATTGGATTGAGAGAGACGCCTTGGGTATCAGGGGTCTGCCAAGCAGGGTCTGCCGAACCATGTACGCCGGTATGAGCGGGAGATTGCAGAACGGTACTGTTCAGCCAGCCTTTGACGCGCTTCGATTCGAACAGCATGCCACAAAGGCCACCGCCGAAGAACATGATTGAAATCGACACATGCTCAAGGTCCGTAGCACTCCAGGCGCCGCCCCAGCCAGCCAGATGTTCCAGAAAGACATTGCTCGCCCCGTAAAGGAAAATGACGAAGGATTCGGTACACTCGGCAGAAGGAATCTTCGCCTTCCATTTTCCGACAATGGAGCTCGAGGGTTTGATGTTCCATGCCCAGCCAAAATCTGCCCAGCAGCCCATCCAGCGGCCCAGAGTCAACAGACCGTACCAGAAAAAGATTCCACCCTTTATGAAGTGCGCCAGACCGTTGAAGACCTCGCTTCCCCGCTGCAGTTGAACTCAATTAGCGGAATCTAATATCGGGGAAAGAGGGAGATAGAGGGAAGGCGCTTACCATGATGCCACCATAAGTTACACCACCAGTTGCGATAGCGATGAAGCCAAAAGGCAGGATAATCCTGTCAATAACCAAAGATACAACATTCAAGACCCGGAGAACGCGACTAGATACCAAGCGAGGCACGCGACTGGCGAAAAAACGGCCTAAACCGGTGCTATGTAGCCAGCCGCGGTGAGCAGGCTCCTCGATGACTTGCTCGGGCTTCTCAAAGGTATCATATTCTTCTGACGGAGATGAGCAGGAAGGTGAACTTGGCCGGCTGTGAAGGGAGGAGGAGTTTCTCTCGGTGCCCTGGCCACTGTCTTTTGACCAGCGATAGGCATGATTCATTACAGACGGATAAGGGTGCGAATTATCAGCCATTTCGTCGGTGGGCACAGGGAAGAATGCTGCCTGCTCGTATGCCTTTGCTCTCTCGCCTCTGCCAGCATACGCGAAGATCAACGACATAATGACCTGTGCGCTTATGACCCAGGTCGCAATCCACCCAATCTTGTGATGAGCGTTGTTCTCATAAAGATCAGGCGTCTGACTGTTGTAGATAATTCCGATAAGTAAACCCAAGGCATTGCACAGCAGGAAGAAAAATTGCGACGGCAGTGCAAATCGCGAACGCGCCACACTGAACATGACAGCTGTGACAGCACTGTTCAGCAAAGATCCCGAAGATGGTGGTTGCTGGAATTTCTTACCTGTCGGCAGGACGAAACACCATGCAATGATCATGAGAGCGATGTGAGCCATTATGGTGCCCGAATGCTTTCCATGTGCGAAATAACTCATGGGAGATTCATCGTTTGCGTCTTTATGCGGCTCCGACTTTGTTGTGTCTTCCATGTTCATGCCCATGTCCATTTCCATGGATTCATCGTCTCCGTGAGGAAGTGCATTGGCGATGGATACTAGTAAGAAGGAGGCCGCAAATGCGGCGCGGGATGCTGCTCGCAGCATGGGCGATTTGGTTATTGTATTATGGGGACAAGGGCTGAGCTAGAAGGTTGTTGTGGGTGGGCAGTGACTACAGAGAGCTGGAGTTGAGGAACCTAAGCTCCAGCTCGTCTGATGGTTATTCCGATGGCCTGATTGTGAGAATCTCTGATTGCGCAAAATCGCAGCTGTACAAGTTGCGGTGTTGAAGTGCTACCGGCCCTGGCGCGCAATAATTACGTTAGGTATGCTTGTAGGGCTGAAGTATGGAAGGAGACAGCCGAAGAAAAAGGATAAAGGAAGAAGTAAGATGGAATGGGAGCCAGAGGCAGGGGAGTAGATTAAGAGGT